TTTTTTTTTTTTTGTAGAAATTGACAAGTTGGTCATAAATTTTACATGGAAAGACAATGACCAACAATAGCCAAAACAATTTGGAAATAGAACAAATTTGGAGGACTGATGATTTCATAATTTATTATAGAGCCACTGTAATTAAGATAGTGAAGTATCAAAAGATGAGCCCGTAGTTCAGTGGAACAGAACTATAAGTCCAAAAATAGATTCTTGCATTTATGGTCGGTTGATTTTGATATAGAAGTCAAGACCATTCAAAAGAGAAAGCATAGTTTTTTCACCAATTGGCGCCAAGACAATTGGGTATTCGTTTGTCAAAGAAAGAATTTGGGCCCTTACCTTATTATATACACAGACAGTAACTCAAAATAGATCATAGACCTAAGTGTAAGAGTTAAAACCTTGCAAATTGCAGAAGAACAAATTGGACATAATCTTTGTGACCTTGAGTTGAGTAAAACATTCTTGGATACAATGCCAAAAGCACAATCCATGAAAGAAAAAAGATGACAAGTTAGGCTTCAGCAAAATTAAAAACTTTTACACTTCAAAAGACAACAATAAGAAAATGAAAAGACAAACCATAGATTGAGAGAAAATATTTGGAAATTATATATCTGATAAAGGTCTTACATCCATAATACATAAAGAACATTTATAATTCAACATTAAGTCAACTCAAAAAATGGGCAAGAGATGTCAGATATTTTGGTCTGAGTCATTTGGTGAAGGATATAAATAAATGGGTAATGAACACATGAAAAGATGATGAACATCAATAGTCACTAAGGAAATGCAAATTAATACTACAATAAGATACCACTACACTCAAACTAGAATAGGTATAATTAAAAAGACAAGACAATAGTGGGGCGCCTGGGTGGCTCAGTTGGTTAAGCACCCGACTTTGGCTCAGGTCATGATCTCATGGCCTATGGGTTCGAGGCCCACGTCGGGTTCTGTGCTGACAGCTCAGAGCCTGGAGCCTGCCTGGGATTCTGTGTCTCCCTCTCTCTCTCTGCCCCTCCCCTGCTCACACTCTGTCTCTCTCTGTCTCCCAATAATAAATAAACGTTTAAAAAAATTACAACAACAACAAAAAGACAATAGCAATTGTTAGCAAGGATGCAGAGAAATTGGAACCTTTGTGCATTGCTGATGGGAATATAAAATGGCATACCACTCTGGAAAACATTTTGACAGTTTCTTTAAAAGTTACACATAAATTTACCATGTCACCCAGTAATACCATGTCTAAGAATTTATCCATGAGTAAACATATGAGCACTCAAAGACAAGACTGGGAGTGTCATGATATCATTGATGATGCTGCAAATGTTGGAATGACCCAGACATCCATCAAGTTACGAATGGATACATATCATGTGGTATATCCATTCAATGTAATCTTACTTAGCAATTAAAGGAACAAACTTCTGATAACATGCCACTACACGTATAAAATCAAAACATCATTTTAAGTGAGAGAAGCCAGGCTCAAAGGATTACATATTGTATGATTCTATTTACATAAAATTCTAGAAAAGGTGAATTTATAGAGACAATAATCAGAGGAGTGATTGCCTAGAATGAAAATAAGGATCAACTATAAATAAGCAGGAGGGTACTTTCTGGGGGTGATGATAATGTTCTAAAACCAGATTGTCATAAAGGTTGCACAACTCTGTAAATTTACTAAAATTGTTGAATTATACACTTATGATGGGTGGATTTTATAGTATGTTATTATACTATATATATACAGTTGTTTGGATTGACTGGTCTCAGCTGGGACATTCTCACTTGAGGACTCTCATGTGATTGCAGTCAGATATTGGTAAGGGTGACAGTCATCTGAGGGAATGATTGGGCTGAATTTCCAAGATGGGATTGGATTACTCACATGTCTGTTGACTATTGACTAGTCCATCTAAATATGACCCCTGTATGGGCTTCTTCCAACATGTTTGCTGGATTCGAAGAGAGGAGGAGCTGCCAATCAAGTTAATGGCTCAACCCAAAACACACCTAAAGTGTTACTTAATGCCATTTTCTGTTCATCAGAGCAGTCATGCGGCCTGTCCAGATTCCAGGGGATTAGGAAATAAATGCTCTCTCTTGATGGAAGAGCTACAGGAATACATTTGAGAAGAGTGCAAGGGGTATAAGAGAGAGTGTTGTAGACATCTTTGGAAAAGAACTTATTACATTTATTTCAACTGTTTTTATTACTGTTCTGTGTAAGATATAGTTACTAGGAGTTTAGGTCATTAAAATGTAAGTAGGTAATGTACCTTAGATGTCAGCAATTTTTAGATGGATGGTAATTTTAGAATATTATTATAGTAGTACTGCCTTGACCTACCAAGAATAGTTGAATATTCTAAATTTTATTTCTTACATGTTTTTCACGGGGAAAAAGTAATATTTTCCAAAGAATAATATTTCCTGGTCACCATTAGTTAATGATTTTTTAGTATATTCAGTGTATTAAGTTCAGAGTATCACTAACGTTTATTGACCATTTATTATATGTAACTTCTAGTAAGATATTGTTATCCATATTTTACAGGGGAAAAAGCTTGCCATTATCAAGTTCTAGTTCTTCTGAAACTCAGTTCCAATAAGTACTCTTAAAAACCCTTTTACTTAGGAAAAAACCCTACATATTGAAAAGTAATCACATCATAACTTTATAACTGAATTAATATTCATACACTGTATTATCACCCCGATTAATAAACCAATGAACGAAATAGTACCAGCACCTCAGAATTTCCCCTCAGGCCCCTCCCAGGTATACCCTCTAAAGATAACGTTTTTCTTGTCTTTCATATGTTTTTGAGCTTTTTATAAACAGAATCACAGAGTATGTACCTTGTGTCTGGCTTCCTTCATTCCACACATTTTTAAGAATCATCCATCTTGTTGCATATGGCTGTGGTTCATTCTCTTCGCTACCCATTGTTCAGTTGTGTGAATATACTACCATTTATTTCTTCTATTGTTGATGGGTTTGGGGGAAGTTTCCTGTTTCTAAGATTACAAATAGAATGAATATGATTTTTTTTTACATGTGAATGAATACTATTTACCTACCAGTGCTGCTTCTCTTTTCCATGAGACTTGGGGAAAAAAATATTATTAATCACATTGGTAGAAATAATTCACAATAAATGATACTATGTTTTCCTTTTTAGATGTGCCTTGATTTCATTCATTTATAATTATGAATTTAGGGTTTTCATAGCTAAAATTCAAACAATTTCACATGTTGGAAATTGCATACGTCAAATTGCTAAAGACGGAATTTTCCTGTTTCTCACTTTGATAAAGAATATCCCCACCCCCACCCCCATTTCTTTCATCCATGAATAGATATATCAGGTGAAATGTCTGTGTTGTCAGACCACAAGGTACCTGGGCCAAATAATCCAGCAAGATACAACTTAATGGTGCCATTAATTTAAACTGAATGCCAGTATGGTTCACTTTATGTGAAGATTTTTTATAAATAATTTTCCTTATAAAACTATGCATATAGTGCAAGTTTTATTCTTCTTATTACTATATGTATTTCTTGAAAGGTGATGAAGACAACACCGTTTCCTCAAAACAATCATTCAGCCTCACAGAAGTGCAACATGAAGTGGAAACAGAGAACACAGACTGCAGAAAATTATTTTTGGAAGGTGATACTCACCTAACAGAAGAGGCACAGAATGAACAGCAACCAAATGTAAAAGATAAACTTTCCATATGATTATGTTAAGGTGAAATATAATATTGGTTTAGTACTAGTGTCATTATTTTTGCTCAGAACAAGATTTTTAATATAATAGTATTTTTATTTTTATTTTTATTTTTTGCTGAAAAGTCATACCATATTAAAGAATACTTTGGGTTAAAAATAATAGTTACAGTTGACCCTCGAATAGTGCTGGTATTAGGAGTGCTAACCCTCCCACACACAGTCAAAAATTCACATATAACTTTTGACTCCTCCAGAACTTAACTACTAATAATCTGCAGTTGGTCAGAAGTCTCACTGATCGCATAAACACATATATGTCAGTTCACGCGTATTTTGTATGTTGCATGTATTGTATCCTGTATTCTTACAGTAAAGCTAGAGTAAAGGAAATGGTATTAAAAATCATAAGAGGAAATGCTGTATTTACTGTACCAACAGTACCGTGAGTACAGACTGTATTTATAGCGCTGTCCTGTGAAAAATCCATGTGCAGTGGACCTGCGTCGTTCAAACTCGTGTTGTTTAAGGGTCAGCTGTGCTTCTGAACTCATCATCCGAGAACAACAAAGTGCGTTCATTTTAAAATGAACACATTTTACTTAGTGATACAGTAGATATATTACTTTCTATACTGATATTTTCTTAAATTGTGTATGTTAAAGTGTGGGGAACTTGTGCATAAAGCATTAAAAAACAATCTGCTTATACTAGCAGTTTTTTGTTTTTGTTTTTAAGTTCAAAATTTAAGATTTTTAGGGGGAAAAAACCATCCATTCCTTACTAGTTAAACTAGTAATAAATGCCAGTATAAGGATAGGAGTCTCTATTATTCTTTGATATGTATAACTTCTAAAAAAAATAATGGACTTTAGATTTGTATAGTGTTTTGGGAATACAGTATTTTTATTTGTAAAAGTACTGTGAAGATTAATAAGTCTTCTTATGCCTAGAAGACATTTTTACATTTTTCTGATAGCATTTTACAAAGAGAAGAACTAGGAAGTACAGATTATGTTTGAGAATAACTTCTGTAGAAAATAAGATTGGCCATTTTTTAATGTTCAATTTTAAGTGTTCTCATTTGGATGTGGATTTAACAATATTTTTTAAAAGGTGAGGTTGAGTTGGTTTGTGTTTTTCCCCCGTATATGTACAGATTGAACAGGAAGCATCACTGGACCTGATTTTAATAGAAGATTATGATTCCTTAATAGAGAAGATGAGCAACTGGAATTTTCAAATATTTGAAGTTGTTGAAAAAATGGGAGAGAAATCAGGAAGGATCCTTAGTCAGGTTTGTTTAAAATCTCTACTTTTTTATCATAAATTAATTTTTCCTTGGATCTTTATAAAACACAAACTCTAAAAATGTGTAATGTTGGTTTAGGCACAACTTCAACATTGTTCACTTAATTATTTTTCTCACAAATGAAGTTTTCAGTAAAAAATTTGAGAAGATATATATACATATATGTGTGTGTGTGTGTGTGTGTGTATAAACCCATATATAAAAATAATTATATATAATGTATAATTTTATTTGAATAAATGAAAATATTAAATTTAAATATAAATTTAAAATATTAAAATAAATTTTAATTGAATAAATGAAAAGTAGTTTTTTGGCCTGTATTAATGGGGTTTAATTTTACTACAGAATAAAGATTTACTTTATACTGAAGCCTGAGGTTGAAGAGGACATAAAATGTGAGCTAGTTCTAACCACTGAAACTTAGGCTTCATTTCTGTCACCTGCCTCCCCGTACTTTACCGAAGGCCAAATGGTTCGTTTCATGCTAGAGCCATGGAAAAATAGTTCCTTGTTACCACCCAGACTCAAGGTTCTCCCTGAGGGGTTCATACAACAGCATCAGATTAACCTTCTCAAAATATCACTCTCATTATCTTCCAGGTATCGGATTTATGAAATGTACAAACATAAGGATAATTTATGTGGCGGGCATACAGTTTCACCTCATTGAAGTCTTTAGGGACAAAAATGTAATAAATATATTGTTTGGACTTCTGTTAAGGACTAGAGTAGAATAGAATTCATGTGCCCTTTAATAAATTGTAAATAAAAAAACTAAAGGGAAGAATAGAAAAATTTTAAAGCTGAGACATGTGATAGTTTTCTTTGGTTTTCAAGGGCTTCAGGGTTATGTCTTCCTTTTTAATATTTTGAGAAGAATTTATTGTAGGAAAGTTTTTAATAAATTATTAACTTAAAGACATATACATGGTAACATCCCCAAATGCAAATCACAAAAACATATTCTACTCAACTGCAAATAGAAATCCTGATTTTTAAAGTGAATTTTATTTTAATTGACATTTAGGTTATGTATACCTTATTTCAAGACACTGGTTTATTGGAAATATTTAAAATTCCCACTCTACAGTTCATGAACTATTTTCGTGCATTAGAAAATGGCTACCGAGACATTCCTTGTAAGTATTAACATATCTCATTATTTAAATTCAAATAATGCTGGTTTGGAAACTATTATTTTTCCCTTCAGATACTCTCTTAAACACTTTTTAAATTACATATTTGAAAATATTTTAAATAGGGATTTAAAAAGTAATCTGTATGCTACTACCTAGAGTTAACTACTGTTATTTTGGTATATATTCTTCAAGACTTTTTTCTTATTTTTCATAAAGTTAATCATAATATTGGGGCGCCTGGATGGCGCAGTCGGTTAAGCGTCCGACTTCAGCCAGGTCACGATCTCGCGGTCCGTGAGTTCGAGCCCGGCGTCGGGCTCTGGGCTGATGGCTCGGAGCCTGGAGCCTGTTTCCGATTCTGTGTCTCCCTCTCTCTCTGCCCCTCCCCCGTTCATGCTCTGTCTCTCTCTGTCCCAAAAATAAATTAAAAAAACGTTGAAAAAAAATTTTTAAATCATAATACAGACATTTAGAATGGGTTTTTCCCTTAATTATTACCTGGTGTACAACTTTCTGTGTTAATAATTATTCATCTGAGTTCCTTGTCTTTTAAAATATTTGGTAATTAAGTAAGTCAAGAGTTTCAGAAAAATCTTGACTTTAAAATATTTAAAATTTATCCATAAAATTTCTATTTTTAACTGTCTCCTGACTTATGAAATAATTTCTAATGGCTCTTTGATTTATGGTAAAATATAATTTGCATTTTATATTAGGAAAAGATACAGTTTATATGTTGATACATTCTACAATTTTCCTTCATATGGACACATTTTGGGAAATCACTACTATAAACAGAGAGCAGATTTTTCTTAAGTTGGCATAACTCATTAATTGGGATGATAATGTGGCTTCTATGTACCATAATTTCCACTTACAAAATATGCATTTCAAAAAGTGAATTTTATAAATAGAATAAAGTGATACTTTAAAATGAACTTCACAGGAAGGGGAATGGAAAGAAAGAGGCAGTAGAGTCTTCACTATCAGCTCCCATTAGGATACATTAGTTAAGAAAAGAGTCTGGGGCACTGGGTGGCTCAGTCAGCTGAGCGTCCAGCTTCGGCTCAGGTCATGACCTCATGGTTTATTAGTGCAGGCCCCACATCAGGCTAGCTATCAGCGCACAACCTGCTTCTGATCCTCCGTTCTCGTCTCTCTGTTCCTCCCCCACTTGCGCGCGCTCTCTCTCTCTCTCTCAAAAATAAAGAAACATTAAAAAAAAAAAAAAAGTGTCTCTGGATCTAACTTTTCTAAACTTTAGTTCCCAAATTTGTAAATGGAAATAACAATAGTTCCTACCCCATAGTTAATGATAAGATAAGCCATGTAAAGCGTGTTTCAGAATTCCTGGCACATAGTAAATGGTCAATAAAAGGTGTTGGCTGTATTAATAATTAAGCTCCTTGCAGATTGACATCATGTCCTAGCAGTAGGCTGAATGTTAGTAGTATCACCTGCTGATTCTACATGGTACTCATTAAATATTTGTTGAAATGTTGAACTTTTATTGAATATCCATTATTCAATGATTTATGAATTTTTCATGAAGATTATATCATTTAGTCTTTGCTGGAAAGTTTGTATTCTCTACCTTCACAGAGGAGAAGTAAAAACTCAGAAGAATCATTCCCAAGATCATAAAACTAGAAATTGGAAAGCTGGCTTTCAGTTGCAGGCCTTGCCCTTTCAGATAGTGATATTTCAGTGAACCAATGTTTTCTCGATTATGTACTATGTCTCAGACACTGTTCTGGATGTTTTCATATATACCATTTAACACTTAATCCTTATAGTAGGGCTGAGAGGTATAGTTATATATAGCTCATCTTTTTTTTTTTTTTTTTTTTTTGATGTACATGTGTTGGAGGAGTGGGGGGTGAGGAGTTCAAGTATCCAGAATTTGTAACTGTTATCTGTGTGCCAAAACTTTTGTGTGCAAACATGGGTGTCCATAATCCAGACACTATTTACATAAGATTTTTAAAGCTACAAAATACCAACTGTAAGTAAATTTTCCAATGCCTTTCAATTGGCCCTTGTTACTTGCCTTCTCTTTGACTGTCTTACTATGTTTTCATAGTATATGTGAAAGTTTTTAAAAGGGAACTTTTTAACACATCAAGAGACTTGAAAAAATAGGATGAAAACAAGGGTGCCTGGCTGGCTCAGTCAGTAGAGCATGCAACTTTTTTTTTTTTTTACATTTATTTATTTTTGAGAGACAGAGTGCGACAGTGCACGAGTGAGGGAGAGGCAGAGAGAGAAGGAGCAGAATCCAAAGCAGGCTCCAGGCTCTGAGCTGTCAGCACAGAGACTGACACGGGGCTCAAACCCATGAACCGTGAGATCATGACCTGAGCTGAAGTTGGACACTCAACCGACTGACTGAGCCACCCAGGCGCCCCGAGCATGCAACTCTTGATCTCGGGGTCGTGAGTTCAAGCCCCCTGTTGGAGAGTGAGCCTACTTAAAAAAAAAAAAAAAACAAGATGAAACAAAAATATAATTGTGGGAAATTATTCTAAGCCATACATTTTACTTATGAGGATATAGTAAAATAGAAAATTATTGTATTTTTAAAAATGTCCTATGTTAAACTCAACAGAATGATCATTTTTATAAAATATTTTGGTGACTTTAGATCACAATCGTATACATGCCACAGACGTCCTACATGCAGTTTGGTATCTGACAACCCGGCCAATTCCTGGTTTACAGCAGATCCACAATGATCATGCAACAGGAAACGAAACAGGTACTTCCTTCTAGAAATCTTCCTTTTAATTATTTGTCTAGAAATAATAAATCAAGCAATCTCATTTCATTACCTCTGTTCTTTTAAAATTTTCATTAAGTAACCTTTGGTACATAAAAAGGACTATGTAAATTTTGATGCATAATACATGCAAATTAGGAAACATGACTCACCTTAAGAGCTAGGTTAAGGTCCAACACTGTTGGATCTACCATGTTTCTTTCCTGTGACCCATCCTGGTGCTTGCTATCCCAAATATTATGATAATCCATTTCTTTGCACTTTTCTTTCAATTCTTTTGTTTGTTTTAGGTATATCATGTAAGTTTAAAATGTATAACATTCACAATGAAAGCAGACATACTTAAAAGCTTCATATAAACATTTAAATGATGATATTAAAAACCTTTCATAACATTTAAGTTTTGCCCTCCAAAAAAGCTAATTCTCCTCATCATAAATATAATTAATTATACAAATGTAATGAATTATAACATGGTTCTCTTACTCTAGCTTGTAAAAGAGGGGAGAGTTACTCCAGTGAGATACACACACACACACACACACACACACACACACACATACACATACACATACATACATACATACATACATACATACATACCAGGACAGAATTTGCTTAGTTACAAATGCCTGAGAACTATTTCCATACTAATCAGTGTAAATGTCATAGATTTGGCCATTGCTTTATAGTCTTTGGTAGTTGAGTCCAAAGTACTGCCATTATTTTTCTGCCATTCCATATTTACTCTTTTTTAGTGCTCTTTGTTCTTTCCAATAGTCATTTTCTTTAGCTTTTGTGTTTGTGGATGTATGGATTTTCTTAGAAGAATATTTTCATATCTTAGCACATTTGAAGATACCATTCCATCCATTTCTGATTTCTAGAGTTTCTATTGACGAATTGGCCTTCAGTCTTATCTCTCCTGAAAATTAATATGTCCGTTTTCTCTTTGCTGTTGGTTTTTAGCATTTTTGACTATTATGTACTCAGGTGATTTTCTTTGTAGTCATTCTGCTTGGAGTTCAGTGAGCTTCTTGAATATGTTGATCAATAGCTTTTATTGGTTTCAAAATGTGCTCAAAATTCTTCCAGCCTCTCTCCATCGTCCAATTCCAAAGCTACTTTCACATTTTTAGGTTTTTGTTACAACAATATACCACTTCCAGGCACAAAAGTCTGTATTAGTTTCCTATTGCTGCTGTAATGCCACAGACTTAGTGGCTTAAAACAGCACAGATTTACTATGTTACAGTTCTGGAGGTCAGAAGTCCAAAATAGATCCAGCTGGGCCAACCCAGAGTGTCAGCAAGATTGTGTTCTTCCTAGAGTCTCTTTCCTTGCTTCCTCCAGTGTCTAGAAGCCACTTGCCATTCCATGGCTCATGTCTCTGAAGAAGGGACAGCACTATAGCCTCTTCACGTCTCTCTCTGAGGAAGGGACTCAAAGGCTTACAGTAACAGGATGTTGAGAGGGGTTGATCATGTGATCATCTTCCCCACACCTAACTGAGTGTCGGAAGTTGTCCCCTTTTGCCAAGGTAATGAGAACATTGCAGCACTAATTCCTGGAGTAATAAAATGTCACACTGGTCCACCAATCACCATAGGGGCTTATGGAATTTAGGTGATAAAAGGACTTTTGGCCTGGGCCCACCTCATAAGTATCAGTTCTCTGAACCCACCCATCTGAATGCATAGTTCAAATAAACATACTGAGCAACTGGGCAGAACCCCTCCATTAATTCCTCAGTCTTTGCAGAGAGCACCATCATGGTAAAAAGGGTCAAATGGAATCCCCTGAAATTTCCTCATTCTAACAAAGTGGTGAACCAAAGCAACACCGTATTACTGGATGGATTGCATCCAGAAATTAGTGCCATTATGAAATACTTGATAGGTGCAGAATTTGTGATTTCCATCACGTTGCCATTCATCTTGGTATTCTGACTTTTACACAAGATGAATGGATCTTGGGAAATGATGGTAGATTATTCTAAATTTCATCAGGTGGTGATTCCAGTTGCCACAGTTATTCCAGATATAATCATCTTTTGAATAAGTCAACCTAACTTATAAAGATTCTGTACCAGATTGGGTGATTGATTTTGTCGGATCCTTATTATCAAGAGGAGATAAGGTTCCTACTGTATGTGAGAGGATGTATATCAGTAACCTAGGGGATTTTTTTGGCCTTTTTGGTACTCCTATGTCCAATGACAAAAGATAATGAAAAACTACTAATCCAGTATCATAGGATCACAATAGTGCAGAGCCTTGAAAATACAGGTCATTCCACTAGGCAAAGAACCATGATCGGTAGAGATGCTAGCTGAGGACAAAGGGAAAATGGAATGGGTAGTGGAATAAGAAAATGATAACTCTGAACTATAGCTATGTGACCAGTCACAGGAGTGAAGTCTATAATAGCCACATGTATTTTTCCTCATTGCCATGTATTTATTTTACATAATAAACAAGTTTTTTCTTTCTCTTTCTCATTCTCCTACCACCCACTGTTGATGGACATTTGGGTTCTTTCTACTCTGGGGCTGTTATGAATACTGCTATGAGTATTCATGTACTAGTTTTTGTGTGGATATATGTTTTCATTTCTCTTGGGCATACACCTAGCTGTGGAATTGCTGGGTCATGAGGTGATTCTGTGGTTAACAGTTTGAGCATCCGCCAAACTGTTTTCTAAGGGGGCTACACTATTTATATTCTCATCAACAATGTATGAAGATTCCTTTTTTTTGGTCACTTGTTATTATCTTTTTAAAAAAATTTTTTTGTTTATTTATTTATTAAAAAAAATTTTTTTAACCTTTATTGATTTTTGAGACGGAGAGAGCATGAATGGGGGAGGTTCAGAGAGAGATGGAGACACAGAATCTGAAACAGGCTCCAGGCTCTGAGCTGTCAGCACAGAGCCCAACGTGGGGCTCGAACTCACGGACTGTGAGATCATGACCTGAGCCGAAGTCAGACGCTCAACCGACTGGGCCACCCAGGCGCCCCTGTTTATTTATTTTTGAGAGAGAGAGAGAGAGCTTAAGGAGGGGAGGAGCAGAGAGAGAGAGGGAGACACAGAATCCAAAACAGGCTCCAGGCTCCAAGCTCTCAGCACAGAGCCTGATGTGGGGCTCGAACTCACAAACCGTGAGATCATGACCTGAGCTGAAACCGGATGCTCAACCGACTGAGCCACCCAGGTGCCCCAGTTATTATCTTTTTGATAGCCGTTCTAGTGACTCTGAAGTGGTATTTCATTGTGGTTTTCATTGCATTTACTTAATGGCTACTAATGTTGAATGCCTTACTATGTGTATATCTTCTGTGAAGAAATGTCTATTCATGTCATCCATTTTTAAATTTGGTCATTTGTCTTTTTATTACTGAGCTGTAAGAGTTCTTTGTATATTTTGAATATAAGTCCCTTATCAGATTGATTTGCCCCTATTTTCTGCCATTCTGTGAGCTGTCTTTTTACTTTCTTGATAGTGTCTATTGAAGTACAAAAAGTTTTAATTTTGATGTTTAATTTATCTAATTTTTCTTTAGTTGCTCATGCTTCTGGTATCATGTCTAAGAAGGGTTTTGCCTCACCTAAGATCATGAAGATTTACCCTACGTTTTCTTCTAAGAGTTTCTTAGTTACAGCCATTAAGTTTAGGTCTATGACCCATTGGAACTAATTTGGGGGGATGGATAAAGGAAGAGATCTAACATTCTTCTGCACATGGATATCCAGTTGTCCCAGAACCATTTGTTGAAAAGAGTTCTTTATATATTCTCCACATAGTCGGCCCTTAAATGTTATTAAATGAGTTTCTACCTTAAAAAATTATGAGCATTAAATGAAACGACATGTATGAAAGAATCTAGCATCATACATGGCACATAGATAACTCTCAACAAGGTCTTGACACCCTTCTACAAAATCAGTTGGCTATAAATATGAGGGTTTATTTCTGGATTCTCAGTTTTATTTTATTGATTTGTATGTCTGTCCTTATGCCGGTACTACGTTATCTTCATTACTAGAGCTTTGTTAGTAAGCTTTGAAATTGTAAGTTTAAGTACTCCAACTTTGTTCTTCTTGTTCAAGATTGTTTTGGCTATTCTGGATCTCTTGTATTTCCATATGAATTTAAATTCAGCTTGTGAATTTCTATAAATAATAGCTAGGATTTTGATAGGGATCGTGTGGAATCTGTAGATCATTTTGGGGGAGTATTGCCACTTTAACAATACTAAGTCTTCTGGTCCATGAGCATGGGTATTTTTTCCACTTATTTAAGTCTTCTGTAATTTCTTTTAACAGTATTTTTTAGTTTCCAGAATACTAGTTTTGTACTTTTGTTAAGTTTATTCCTTAGTATTTTATTCTTTTTGATGCTAGTGTAAACAGAATGGTTTTCTTGGGCTTAGTTTTTGATTATTCATTGCTATCATATGTAAATACAGTTGATCTTTTTGCATAAAATGATTTTTTAGATCTTGCAACCTTGATCATCTTTATTAATTCTAATAGCTTTTTAGTGGATTTCTTAGGATTTTTCTATATGTAACTTCATGTCACTTATAAGTAGAGATAGTTTTACCTCTTTGTTGTGTGTTGGTCTCAGCCTGTCAATAACCAGTGCTGTGGCTGGACCAGCCTTTGTGGTTATTATGACTGCAAGATGCCCTTTAGCAATAACCACCACCCAACTTTGAAAAAATAAAGGTTTATTATAAGAATTAAAAATTACACAGCATAGCTGGGACCACATAGCAAGGTCACAGGGGGAGAGAGCATGTGCACAAGCATGCATGCAAGTGGATACACCTGGGGTTCTGCTTTTTATTGGGGTCAAGGTGGGCGGTTTCACTGGCTCACTCTTTATTGGTGAATTTAAAACATAAAAGCAGGAACTTAAAGCATGGGTAGAGAGAAAACCAGCAGCCCAGATGATCAGTTATTGAAATCAAGATTTCTAGAAGTGGCCTGGCTTTTTATCTAGACAGGTGGCTGACAGGGTATTTCTTTGAGATAGGCATTTTTATAGTAGATGCCTCTTTGAAATGGATGCTTTGGAGATCAAAGCTTAATCCGGGCACTTATGTTACAAAAAGGGGGAACAAAACTGTCAAGAGTTTTTTCCAGTCTGGTTGTCTTTTGCTGAGGCCTCCTTTTAGATTAATCAGCAAATTAAAAGAATCACCATTTTCTGAAAGAAAGTAAACAAGTGCAATCTGTAATAGTTATGTTTAATTGTCCTTGCCAGCCATTTTATTTTTCACACTATTACTTTCATGTTTAACCAAACAACAAAGAAACATCAATATATTAAGATCCTAATGTATCAATTCTAAGTAATTACTGAGTTTAAAAGGATGTCTTTTGCTATTTTTGCTATTTTATATATATACATTTATAATTCTATAGGAAATCCAGAATGCATATAATGTACATAAACTAATTCAAATTATTGGCTGATATTTATAACTAAAATCTTATTAGAAATTTGAATGTTTAGGGGCACCCAGATGGCTCAGTCGGTCACATGTCCACCCTTGGCTCAGGTCGTGATCTTGCAATTTGTGAGTTCAAGCCCCGTGTTGGGCTCTGTGCTGACAGCTCAGAGACTGGAGCCTGCTTTGGATTCTGTCTTCCTCTCTCTCTGCCCACCCCCCCGCCTCCATTCACACTCTGTCTCTGTCTCTCTCTCAAAAATAAAAATAAACATTAAAAGTGTTTTTAATTAAAAAGAAATTTGAGTATTTAAATATATCTTTATCCATACATTTAACTGTCTTTTTAAAAGTTCTAGTGGGGGTGATTCTAAACCTCAATTTAATTAAATATATAGACAGCATAAAAATGAGGTATCTTTATAATTATCGCTAGTGTGTATTAAAGTTATTATGTTAAATTCATGTGATGGCAAATATTTTGAGTGAGATAAATTATGATCAAGATTGTTTTAGGGGCGCCTGGGTGGCTCAGTCGGTTAAAGCGACTGACTCTTGATTTCGGCTCAGGTCATGATCTCGCAGTTTGTGAGTTTGAGCCCCATGTTGGGTGGGCTCTGTATTGACAGTATGGAGTCTGCTTGGGATTCTCTGTCTCCTCTCTGCCCCTCCCCAGCTCGCTCGCTCACTCTTTCTCTCTCAAATAAATGAACTTAAGGAAAAAAAAAAAAAGAGCATTTTGGACTTTGACAGGCCAGGACATTATTCCTAGTTTCCACTGATGAAGACAATGAATGAAATTTTGTATCTCTTTAATATCTTTGTGGTTTTATTTGCTGTCTAGTCTAAATATGGCTTATTTTTTCTTTTTTGTACTTTAAGATTATTTTAGCAAGAGTAGAGAATGACCATTTAAATAGATAAAGGCACTAAAATACAAAAACAATTTAAGAAATCAGTAGTGTAAGATATGAAGACACTGAAGAAAGCATAGCGCTGACAGTGAAAATACTGGTTCTAACTGGAGGATAAAAAGAGAATTGTTAAATGAGACATTCCTCGGTTTTTGATGTCTTTTCATTTTCCATAATTTTTCTTGCCATCATCTTGTAAGGGGCTTCATGGAAGGAAAAAGAGAAGGGGAAGAGTTGCAGTCTGGGCTACAAATGAAATGTAATCTTTCTGGATAAGATTTGAAATGCATCTATATTGAAAAGCTTAGTTTGTTAATATATTAAATTCCTAAACCTCCATACTGTTTTCATGAAATTTTATTCTCCAGATTGCTTTTTTCCTGTTACCTCCTATGCCCCGGCCATTATCTCTAGCCCTTAAATAACAAATGTTTAGAAACCGGAGGTTTTTAAAAAATTTTTATTAGCCTAAGTAAGAGAGCATCATAAAGATCTCAGAATGTCTCATAAAGCAAGTGACTTCAGCATCACGTTTAACATTGTTTGTCTCTAGTAGCATGTATGTTGGAAATAAAAGACTGTTGTAAGTCCTTGTTTATAAATAGAGTTTCTTTCTTTGATTAGTCAATAAGTAAGCTAAATAATCTTATTTCCAATGGGGAATCCTGTCCTTAGTCTCATTGTAAGTGAGTCTCATTGTAAGTGTAATGCTGGTGTATTTTGCTTGTTCCTCAGATTCGGATGGTAGAAGGAACCCTGGGCAAATTGCCTACATTTCTTCAAGGAGCTGCTCTATTCCAGATGAGAGCTATGGGTGCCTTTCTGCAAACATTCCTGCACTGGAATTGATGGCTCTCTACGTGGCAGCTGCCATGCATGATTACGATCACCCAGGGCGGACAAATGCATTTCTAGTGGCTACAAATGCCCCTCAGGTAGGATATATTTTCTTAGAAAGTTTAAAAAGCAATTCTCAAATGTTACAACCATGTTGTCGATCCTTTTGTTAAACCATCCTTCACTCCAGTCAGAGAGCCATTCCATGTACATTGTAATTAATCGGATTTTAACACATGACATTGGCATGATTGACATGATGTGTGCTCAAGAATTAAGAAGCCATTACCATCTTCCACTGGAAAATAAAATGTTCAGGAAAGAGTGACTGTTTTATGAAATTCTGGAATTCTTGTCAATATTTTTCCCTTTGGTCAAATTGATGAGGCTGACTAGATGGAAAACTTACTCTTCCTTCTTCCTTTCTATGGCTAAAATCCTAATGATGAAGAACTATCATTTTTGTTGTTTTCCTCTTTTGCCCTTAATACTCAGACTCTAAATCTCTTTTCTAGTACCACATTGTTTTTGTATCCAATACAGCTGATGAGGTGCAAGATTCCTTTACGGTCAAAATTTTCACAGAACGTAGGAGTTGCCAACAAATGGATACTGTAATGGCAGTAGCTTTACCCATTAGGACTTGGGACTAAATCCTTGGTTTTAAGTGGTCGTGGGTGTTTGTTTAGGCTGGCGATTCCTGAAATGTCATCTTCATGCTTGTAACTGCGTGCCTTACAAAGAACAAATCGTCAGTTGGCTGAATTTCTTACGTCTTCACTTCACTGCTCTATGTATAAACCTCACTTCTGATTTTTTTCGTCTTCAGTAGTCATCCTCTGACTACTTCTTTGTCACTTCTCTTTCACACACTCTCACTCTTTAAAATATAGGAGATAGATTCTCTAGACAGAACAAGAATAGGACTCAGAGACAAGAGAGAGAGGGTTAAAAATGTTACGAAACTCACTTCTCCAATGGGACTTTATTAATAGCTCATGTTTTCCACAGATAACTTTTTAAAGAATTTTCATCGAGGGGCACCTGGGTGGCTCAGTCGGTTAAGTGGCCGACTTCGGCTCAGGTCATGATCTCGTGGTC